ATTATAATTATATGTCACTATAAATGTTAGAAAATATAAAATTAAATCAATTTTAAAAAGCACAAAACAATATAAAACATTTGTATGATTATTGTTAAATACTAAAACTACATATTTATATAAATATAATCTTTACAAAATATATAAAAAATTAATCAATGCATAAATATTACAACTAATTATGTTTATAAATTAAGCCAACTACAATCACCTAGTAAGTTACTAAATCGGAATTTTTCATATGAACTAGGCTTTGAACTCGCGTATTAATAATTTGGTTTATTTTTTGGGGTAATATCTTTTAAATTATCAAAACTATAATATATTTATAGAAATTTTCTTTTATATAAAAAACAAGAAAACATAACATGTAGTTTTTCCTATTTTTTGTTTATAAAATTATAAATCTTATTAAGTAATCATAGTAATGACACCTAACGAATTATCCAACTTTGATGTGGATACGTTTGATTTAGAAAATTATTTTTTTACTAAATTTATGGTGTTTTGTTTTGTGTCCTTGGGATTTCTATAGTTCTTTTTTTAAGGTTTATATATTTAAATATTTAGTTTTTGACTAAATGTCTTACTGATGTTGTGTACCTATGCATTTATAATATATGATTCATGTTGATTCGTATTTATTTTTGTTAGGATAGTACAACAATCGTGTAAAGCTGCTTCTTTCTTCTCCACCAGATCTTCAACGAATTTTAGGTTATATCTATATTCTGTTTATAAGATCTGTTTTATTTGCATTCAACTATTTGATAATTTTTTTTTAACATGTAAGATGGTGTGGAGTCTTCACATTATCATTGTTTGTATCGTTTGTGTGTTTTATTCATGTTTTGAATTGAATAGTTTATCTAGTTCCAATTTGAATTTGATTCATAACTTTGTCATACTTTATTATTTAAATAAAACTTTAGAAGATGTTACTCATGTGTTGTTCATGTTGGCTAAGTTATAAGTAGTAACTGTGTATAAAAATCAGAATTTATTACTTGTTATATTTTGAATGTAAAGTTACTTGTGTAGTTTTTTTGTTAATTTTTAAACCAGACGCATCCAAGCTATTAGTCTTTGTAAATTTAAATAATATGTTTGATTTAGAAACTTGTATAACCTACTGTCACTTTATATGGTTATTCATAGTCAATACCAGTATTTTAGAAATCATGAATTTTCTGGAACTAAATTTCAAACTAATTTTCTTCTTATATCTTTTTTTTATTATTTTACATATCTTTCGATAGTAATTTAATATTTTATTTTAGTTATCTAATTTTTTGCATGTTTGATATAATTAAAACATATATATTTTTTAACTAATCTTTTTTGTTATTGATTTTTCCAAATAGGTAGCATATATATCAATTTAATCTCTTTTACATAAATGTTTTTTCTTTGTTGAATTTAATTTTTATTTAATTAAAATACTCTAATTGGCTATTCTAAATTTTAGGTGGACTTCTCTCAAATTTGAGTGTATATCATCATTTGATTTTTTAGTTTTTTTTTTGTTAGTTAGCCTAAATATCAAACTAATTTTACTTTATACGATTTTTTCCTTTGATAATTTACCTCTCTTGATATTGATTTCTATTTTATTTTAACACATAATTATTTTGAAAATATTAATATTTTGAAGACACAATAGTTAAAAAAATTTATATTGATTTCTTAAGTATTTAGTCAGATATCAAGTTAATTTAGTTTAGGTGATTTTTTAAAAAACAATTTAACATTTTTTAAAACTTAATTTTTTGTTTAATTTTTTTGTTAATTAATTAATAATATTCATTTCTTAAATAATTAGTTTAAATATTTATATTCTTTTTGTTAATTAATTTATTAAGTATTACTTAATTTTTTTATTCTCTTGCTTATTTTATGTATACTGATTTTGTAAAATAAATAGTATAGATATCAAAAATATCCTTTTTTGTTAACTTAACTTTTTAGATTTGGAATTTCATTTTAATTGTATTGACATGTTGCAATAAATAATTTATGTTTTGTTTTTTGTTAGTTAAACTTTTTTTATATTGCTTTCTTCGGTAGTTAGCAGAAAATATTATTTTTGGTTAGTTAAGCTTTTGTGTTAATTTTCTAAACAATTAGGTTAAATATCAAGTTTTAAATGACTTTTCTTTTTGTTAATTTAACATGAATATTTTTTTGGTAGTATTGATAGCTTTAAATAACAATTTTATATGTATATATAACAATTTAATCTTAATATTTTTTTAAAAAATAAATTACTCATTTAAAATATATATGTTAATTTTTTTCTTTTTTAATTTAACTTTCGGTTATTGATTTACATATTTGTTTTTGTTAATTTAGCTTTTGTGACAATGAGTTTTCAAATTTTGAAATTGTTTAATTATAATCTAAAATACAGTTCTAATTATTTTGTTCAATATATATGATTTTTCTTTTATAATTTTTTATAAGTTAATTTATTTTTTATTGTTAACAGAAAAATAAGATCTAATTTCTCAACTTTTTTATTAATAACTAACTTAAAATTTAGAAATTTTCCTAGTAACAACAGAAACAAAATTAATTAAAATTTAGAATCCTCTACCTATTAATTGAGAATTTAGTTTAATGAAGATTTGTTTAAATTTTTTTGGTTAATATCTTTAGTTTAAGCAATTTTAATGTGACATGGAAATGATGATGTAATTGTGACATGTCAGTTTTTAGTACCCATGGCTTCTGATATGGCATTATTTAATTTATAAATAAAATTTAGTGTTAAAAATTTGATACAAAATTTAAGTACTCAACTTTTTGACAAAAATTTGGAAAATGTATATTTGTTAAATATAATTAAAATCACATTTCGACACAAAAATTGGTCAGAGAATTTACGGATTTCAAGTATTTAGCGAAAAATTTGTAGCAACTTATTTAGCCGGAAATTTTTTTATATAATATTTTTGGCATAAAATTTATGGATTCATAATATTTGGCAAAAAGTCACGAAACCAAATTAAAATATTCTAAAATAAATATTTTGGTGGGAAATTTACAATTTCATGTTTTTAGCGAAAATTTTCTAAAATCGTGTTTTCACAGAAGTTTTCGAAATTAGATATTTAAGTAAGTTTTTTGGCGGAAAATTTACGATTCACTTATTTGGCGTAAAATTCATGAAATCAAAATTTTGACGGGTAGTTTTAGAAATCATATTTTTAATGCAAAAATCTTGGCGAATATTTTTTTATGAATTCACTTTTTCGCGAGAAATTTACAAAATCAAAATTTTGTTAGAATATTTTTAGATCAGATTTTTTGATGTTATTATATTGGTGTGAAAGTTACTTATTCATGTTTTTGGCAGAAAAATTGCAAAATCTATTTTTTGATGGAAATTTTTGAAATTTTATTTAAAATAAGTCTTATGCAAAACATTAGCAAGTTCAAGTGTTTGTATGAAATTTACAAAATCAGATTTTAGAAGAAGAATTTATTCACTTTTATTATCATCTTATCTTGTCCTACTATAAACAAAAAAACAAAAATTTATATTATATGCGAATGTATTCCAATTATATAGCAAGAATTGCAAACCAGAAACGGGACGAAAGGTGACATGATGAGATAAAAAATATATAAAATATGTAAAATATGAATAAAAATGGAAAACGAAGAATAACAAAGAATCATTTTATTTTATTGTACTGTTTTTAAGTATTTTAAGTTTTGTATATATTTTATTTTTTGTTATATACAACTTTTCAAACATAATAAATCATTTTTCACAAATTTAATTTTTATACAAATATATTATATGACAGGTTAATCATTTATTTATTATAAATTATATATATTATTATTAATTAATTTTATTAAAATGTTTATGCCTGCGTAGATGTGCGGACCAACCACCTAGTTTTCCTTATAACAAAAACAACAGATTTATTAATATTAATATATAATATATAATTAACTATAGATAATAATGATGTGTACCAATAAAATTAAACCAATTTTGAATGATTTGATGGGCCTGATGATATAAACCTTTGTAGAAACTATTAGCCAGGAAGATGAAATCGATCTGGAAAAATTTTGGAAAAACAAATTTGGACCATTTCTCGATTTGTGCGTGTTTTAAATCCTATGCGGGAGTAATAATAGATGTTGTGCGTGACTATCTTCTCTCTATATAATGCCTTTAACATGGCACTACAAAACGTCAAAAGCCACTGTATTATTCGAGTTAGGAGTTATTTTCATCAAAAACCCAAAATAAATATTAGACTATTACTACTAGCTGAGTTTTACAAAATTTACATTTCATTTTTTGGGCCAGAAAAACATAATGTGCTAGTACGGCCCATACATCAACGCTAGATATTTGTTTTGTAGAGTTTTTAAGGAAACCAAAAGAAACAAAAAAAAACTGGGGAGAAAAAGAAAAGCAAGAGAGGCATTATCCCTTACGACGAGGAAGCCGTCGTTTTGAGGGTTTTTATTTCTTCGCACCGTTCGTACAATTTCCTGAGATCTCTTCTTCAAAGTGCTTTCTGTCTCCTTTGTTTTTTTTTCTCAGTCCGTCGTCGTTTTGATTCATTCAAAGTTCATCGTCTCTGTTCCGCGCTGTTTTCTGGTTAGTCTCCCTTCTCCGGCGTCGTTTCGTCCTTAACGTCTATCTCTGATTCCACATCGTCTCTCCTTTGCGTTCCTCTCTGTTAAGCGAACAAGAAAATCTAATTCAAAGTTTTCTCTTTTATATTCTGTGAACAATGGAATTTGAGGAAACCGCAACTTTTGTTGAGGCTGAAAAAATTGGGATCTTTTTAGGGTTTCGATTTGTTGGACGGATCAATTTTGCTGCATTCGAGCTTTCTTATGTGAATTTCATCGGGGAACATGTCTTTTTATAAAAAAAATCAATACTTTATCCTGGTAAAGTTTGAAAATTTAGACTTGGAACATTCATGTGTTAATTTGGGTATTTTTCAATCAGGTGAGTGTTGATGCTGATGGACGCCTTAACGAATCCAGGTCCACTTAAGGACATTGTGCTTTATGATCAAGAGAAACATGTTTCCTCTGCTGTTTGGGATGGCCAGGTTTAACATCTTCTCTATGTATATATCTTGATAAGATCACTCACAACCGCCTTTTGGAAACTGTGAGCAAGATGTTATGATTTTGCTTTAGACACTATTTGTCTCGCTTTGCTTAGTATCATTGTTCTTGTATATTTGCACAACGTTTCTTTTTGCTGCTTATAGACTTAACAATGATTGTGGAAACAAAACTGTTAGGAGCGAGGTGCGTTGAGGTGTCATGAGCACACTTCAAAGTTGAGTGAGTGGAAGCTTAGCTCAAAGCAGATTGAATTGGTGGAGAGAGCCGGTTTCGGGTATTTGAGACGGATCCCTGCCATCAGTCTTGATAACCCTTTGATTTCTGCGTTGGTCGAGCGATGGAGGAGAGAGACCAACACTTTCCACTTCACTATTGGGGAAATGACTGTGACTCTTGAGGACATTGCCCTGTTACTCGGATTGGGGATCGATGGTAAACCCGTGATTGGAGTTACCTACACGACTTGTTCCGCGGTATGCGAGAGGTACTTAGGGCTGGCCCCGGATTCCGGCTACGCTAGTGGTGGGATGGTGAAGCTTAGCTGGTTGAAAGAAAACTTCTCCGACTGTCGTGATGACGCATCTTTTGAGAAAGTCGAGCACTGCACACGGGCTTACCTCTTGTACTTGGTAGGGAGTACCATCTTCTCTACAACCACTGGGAACAAGGTCCCTGTGATGTATCTTCCGCTGTTTGAGGATTTTGATGATGCCGGAACATTCGCGTGGGGCGCGGCTGCTTTGGCCTTCTTGTACAGGGCGCTTGGGAATGCTTCTGTGAAATCCCAAAGCACGATTTGTGGCTGCTTGACGCTGTTACAGGTCCTTTTGCTTTTCATTTCTTGTTCCCAAATCGTTTCATTTCTTGTTCCCCAATAACTTCTCTTTTGTTTTATGTAGTGTTGGAGTTACTATCACTTGAACATCGGCCGGCCAAAGCTGAACCGTGAGCCAGTCCATGATCATTTCCCATTTGTGCTTAGGTGGAAGGGGAAGCAAAATGGTCCGACAGCAAACCGTGATGTCGTCTTTTACCGGAAAGCACTTGATGTCTTGAAGCCATGTGATGTAATCTTCTTGATTTTTTACATTCTCCTCAGCTACTCTTCTTTGTATATACTTGTTTTGATCTCAAGTCTCTGATCTACTTCCCTTTGGGATTCAGGTGGAGTGGCTGCCTTATGAGAACATGGACGGTAGATACATACCGGAACATATTAGAAACTCTCTGCAGTTGGGTAGATCGAAAACGATGCTGATATCTTTCGACAAGGCGGAGAGACACCTCCCTGATCGCTGTCTCAAACAGTTCGGCTTGTTTCAAGGCATCCCTGAAGATGTGCAGAAGTGGGTAAGGAAGTCCCGGGGAGTCGATGGAGGGGTCGACCTTTCGGTTAAAATGGAACCAGAGCTAAGCGAATGGGAAATGCGGTGGGAAAACATTGTCCCTGATGATGTTCTTGGTGTTGATGAAGCAGATTACATGAGATGGTACCTTGGAATCACCCGCAGAGTCGTGGGAAGGCCCATCTCTCTCTCGAGCGAGTTTCAAAGAACGGTAAAATCTCGCTAAGAACTAAGTTTCTTGACACGCTCGAGTTATTTTTTACTTAACCTTGTTCATTTGCAGATATCGAATGTGAGGGATATATTGGAGTTGGCTGAGAATTTCCCAATACATGATTTAGACCTTGATAGAGGCAACATGGTCTCACGGATCATCAGCCTCGCGCAAGATTGTTTGAGGGATCAAGTTGGAGTAACGGCTGGTGGAACAGAAAGCCAGCAGCAGATTGAGCTTGGTAAAAGGATGCGCGGTAAAGAGAGGGTGAGAAGGAAAGGGATGGGAAAGAGAAGGAAAGGTATTGATCCAATGGAAGATTATGGAGGTAGTGAAGATGAATCATCACAGTTTGGACCTATTGTTGAGGTTGATCAGTTGCATTTACCACTTAGCCATCATGTGAACTCCGTGTACGATGAAACACAACATTTGTATGATCCTGTCACCAAAGTTGATGACATGGAGGAGCTATGTGACAACATCCCTCAATTGCCTGATGATGCTCAAGACATGAACAAGATTGATGGGTCATTGCTAGACGACACAAACAAGTCTGTTGAGGAGCTAACTGAGAGCGTTGCTGTAGAACTTCATGAGAGCTATGATGTGAAGAAGGAAGATAAAGATTCAAAGGTTGAAGAAGATGGTGCTGGTGTGAGTGGTGAAGAAAACGAAAACAGAGAGGAAGTTGATGGAACAGACATGGGAGAAAATGTTGCAGAGTCGTCTTCTCTTGAGAGAGGAGGAGACAACACTTTGGTGGCTTGAGAAAATAAGGCTGCAGAGGAAAGTTGAGTTAGTTTTTTTCTGTTCGTGTTTTTTTCTAAAACTTCTTGTCGTTTGTTTTCTTAAAATATTATCTTTTTGTTTTAGAAGTATGTTAAATTTTTCTGTAGAAGAAGAAGCATGATATAACAGTAGTTTTTTAAATAAAGTTAGCTGACAAAATTTGGATTCTTTTGCCATAAAAATCGAAATTGGGTTAATAAACAAATTTGGTGTGTTATTTTCAGTATATGCAATAAGTTCACTTGGTGTTACTTTCAATGTATTCTAATTTTTAAGTTGGTCCCAATATATTATATTTAGAGGGGATGAGAGTAGGCCAAACAACGTGAACAGATTCAAACTCATTCCAGTATGCATTTAAAAAAAAAACAATTGAGTTAGTTTTCTTATAAAAATGCTAATTTCTCTGTCCATCTATCTCTATTTCTACGCATCTAATTTTGTAAAGAATGTAGTGTTAGTGATATAAACCGATAATAATTGAATTTCCCATCTGTTCTTTTGTGAATATTTTTAATAATGAAATTTGTTACCTAAATTCGAAAGTGTTTAGGGATCAGTGGTTGTTCAACAAATTGACCTTCAAAATGCTCTTTTATTAGTTTTTTTCTTACAAAAACCTAAGGGTTCTAAATAAAAGTAGTGCCAAAAGGAGTTCCAGTTGTATAAGAATCGATGCTTTCTTTGTTCCTCGGAGTAAGTGATCTAATTTATTTTTGCGAATTCAGGTCCCTCCTTTTTATATACTTCCACTTTTTGACCAATAAAAAGAAATTTTCAAAAAAGAAAGCAAAACAATAATGCCTATTAACAAATGTTGACTTACCACACCAGTAAGACTTTCAAGTTAAAACAACAAATTATAAAAGAAAATTACATTTTAAAACAAAACATCATTTCATAATTAGTTAAGAACATAATTCATTGTAGCAAATAAAATACTGTAGAATTTAAAGAGTTAAAAAACAATAAATAAAATTAAAATTTAAATAGAAACATGTGAAATATTTTGTATTGACAACTTCATGTTCTTAAAACGGTGTGATTAACTAAACTGGTGAAATTGAATTTACATGTTTGTCCGTCTTTGTGTTTTGCACGCGTAAAATTTTTAAATTTGAGAAAAGATCGAATTTCTTTTTGTTCTTTTCGTATTTCTCTAAATGTAATGAGAATGTCGGCCATTCCGTTAGATTAGCCACAATCTTCACCAATTCGGAACTGTTTGTGACAAAAACCACCGCCAGTCTTTTAACATCAAGCATGCAATACATTACACATACTAGTGCCTCCAGTTCTGTATGCAAATGTAATAAACTCTTTCTTACCTTATGTGCATCCATTAACGTACCCACCGTACATACTCCTTGACTAAACCAGCCTAATGCTGCATTGGATACTTCATGTTTCCATGATCTATATGTGTGACAGATTACTCCATTAGTGGCCAAAATCCCATTTTGTGTACTTTGTGAAATAGATACCACTATGTCATATGTATGTGCCTCATCACTAATTTCACTATCTTTCAAGGATCCCGATCAATATTTGAGAATATCTTATTATTTTTTATTTTGCAAATATACCATAGAACCCCAAAGATATATCTTCATATCCTCGTGATTTGGTAGATGCCAAAATAAGTTTTCCATATTAAAAAACAGGACATACGTGGGAAATTGATGCATATGTGTGGGTATTGACGATAATGCCCATACCTGAAATACCGGAAGACATTCAAAAAGTGTAATTTATGATATTCCTATCAGCATCACATCTACAACATTGAGGGTCACAGTTAACTCCCCTGGCTTGAAGACGGTATGTGACTGCCAAACATTCTGAGAGTATAAGCCACAAAAAAAATGTTTCAACTTTGGTGGACATTTAACCTTCCATACTTGCGCCTGTAATTTGACTTACATCCGGACCACAAAATCTAGTGGATTCCTTATGATAAGGGAAAGCTTGTTCTGTTAAATAACCCGATGTGACAGTGCATCTTTCTCTTTTAGTAAAATTCCACTCCAACATATCTGGTCGACGTTCCTTAGTAGTTGACATCCCAATAATCAAGGGTATATCTTCTGAGGCTATTAATTGTTCAACTAGTGTTATATTCCAGGTTGATGTTGCAGGGTCAATGAATTGATTGACTATAAGCTCTGGGTAATAATTATACTCTTTGCATGATGCTGATCTCGGGCATGATGATGAAAGCCATGGATCGTTACATACATATATAAAATAACTTGAACCAACTCTTTTGATAAACCCTTTTTGTATCTAGGATAAAGTTAAAGATCTTTGTTTTAGCGCCTCTCTAATTCTCTAGGAAAACAAACATTTCTTAAAACATTTTATATGATAAAATAGAGGGAATATACATTAATATATAATCTGAAAAGTTTTAATAAATTAAGATATTATGAGGATTTTATTAAAAAAGCCAAATTTAAATTTGATTTGTTTTTCTTTCAGTATAATAATTTTAAGATAAATCAAATAAAATATTTCGATTGTTGAATTGGTAACAAATGCAATTCGGAAATGATTTTCCAAATTAAACAATCTGAAGTACCTAAATTACAAATTATCTAATTGTTGGGTTTATTTTCATTGTGTCTTATCAGGAGATAATACATTAGCAGTAGGTCTGACGGTAATGCTGAACTTCCTGTCTAGATCTGCCCATGGGTTCTCTAGTTAACTATTCCTGGATAGAGAGTGAGCTTCCCAAGTTGAAGATGTTCTGTGATAGCACACCTACTCCCACCATGCGCCACACCAATAGAACAGGCCAGAGCGATAGGAATATAAATAGGAGGCTAGAGGCAGCCAAGACAAGAGGTCGGAGTTCAGAGAGAGGAAAAAGGGATCTAGAGAGAAAGAAATATATGATATTAAAAGAGAGAGAGAGAGAGAGAGAGACCTCAGAAGAAGAGGGAACCATCACGGCTCCCCATCCTCGCCGGAGCTCACTATACCTCACTGGCCTTGCAGCGGGACTAATGGGGATATGCTTATTATTTTCCGGAAGGAACGTCAATCGAGATAAGCTTTCCTTTCATCCTTAACCCTCTGTATTATCCTTCATCAAGAGAGAGCTCCAACCAAACTCCCTCAATGGTCCATTTCTTTTTCACCCACCTTCACCAAACAATATACTGGTATTGATGAGGACATCCCAACTGAACCAGATTTAACCGAGCCTCAATTATAAGAAGTAGGCATACCGGTTCCAAACAAAGGCGTTATAACGAGATAACGGGCCCATGCACTTCAAGACAAGTACAACCAAGCCATTTTACGAGCCATGACTGATTCTAAGGAAGGAAGCCCAAGTTTAATAGCTAAATCTGCATGGGATGATGCATGGGACGATGCATGGGACATCTTAGAAGCAACCGACCCAACAAAATCACAAGTAAGCTGGCCCTTAATATCAAACAAAACTCACGCCAACTTATTTGATATTTCTACACTTGAGAACAACACTTAAAGCTCAAGATCACGATTAAGGAAGAAATACATCACACTTATTCACGCCCAAACCAAAGAAGGTAAGTCTTTGTTTCGTTAAATCATATTATTCATTTTGACTAACTTTTTTATGTTTCTCCTTATGATTGATTTTAACCAGCCAATGATTTAATTTTTCTCTTAATTAGCTAAGGCAATGTTAGCCACCATTTTCGCTTTTCCTTTCCAATAATGTTGTTTTTCAATAAGTGTAATTTTGCTTCAAGTTCCCTAGAAGGGCATAGCTATTCGGACCATTTTATAAGGTCCCCTCTCACAGCCTTGTATTTTTATCTTGATTTTAATAAAGAACCGAATTTTCTTTCACAAAGTTTGTAAACAAAACTTGTGTTTATTCTCTTTAATTTTGTTGAGACCAGTCCTCCAAAATCAAAGAGAAACCGTGTTGTATCAAAGGTCCTTTCATCACCTTTGTGGTACACTTCGATCCACCCGGCCATCCCATTTGGTCAGTTCAACCCCCGGTCAGATCGTCTGAGTTCCTCAACCTCTCGACCAAAATCATCGCCACGGCGTACCATACCACCCGTACCATCCCATTGTCACGCCTCGTACTGCCCTCGTCCCGTATTACGACACCATCGTCCTGCATTACGACACCATCGTCACGCATCGTACCAGTCGTTCCACTTATACCATACCACCCGTACCATCCCCACGTCACGCCTCGTACCGACCATCACACTCTCGTCCCGTCCCAAATCTTGACCCATAGCCTGAGTTCCTTAGCTGTTCGGTCAAACCCTCGTCCCATCTCATTACTCATCCGATGCTTGTATCATTTTTGGTATCAGAGCTGAATTTTTTTTTCAGCCCCAGGTTATATCTTTACATCTTATCAATCTTTGCATTTTCTTTCTTTTTTTGGTTCGTGATTGCATTTTTGATAAAAATATATATATATATATATATATAAATATATATACATATTTTCATCTAAGTTTAATTCTTTTCATATTTATAAAAAAAAAAGAAAGATTTGCATACATAATTCGGTTTGTTTTTTAATATCTTGATCTAATTTATTTGCTATTCATCTAGTTTACATTTTTAAACCGAAAAAGTCAAAAAAAAAAATTATTTTCCATTACCATTAATTGTAGTTTCCCATTTTTATTTCGACTCTTTATTTCTAAATTAACAAAACCAAAAACAAAGTTTTCCATATTTTTTAAGTTGGTCTTTATATCATTCTTAGTTACAATCTTCTGTTCTTTGAATTAAAAGGCTATTCTTAATCCAATCTTTTTTGTTTCGTGAATAATCTAAGGTAAAAGATGGGAGAAGAGTCCAGTAATGCTCAAGACCCCACCACCCTTATGATGGCCATGATGAGAGAAGAATTTTAAGCCTTTAGGCAGGAGATAGGGGAACGTCTTACCTGTGTGGAGAAAGCCCCACGAGCTCCCTTACAGCCGGTTAGAATTGTTGGAGGT